ACATCAGACATTCCATCATTTCTGATTCTAGCCCTTCGCGTTTGCTTTCCGTAGTGGCCCAAGTGAGGATAATCTATGGTTCAGATCACTTGGCAGTGATTCCATGGGTCGCTGTTGGCATTCTGAGCTATGTTGGTATCAGGTACCATTGCGTGTGGCTGTCTAGGATTATGCTACTTACGAGTCATTACAATGTACTGAGATGGTTTTCATCGCTGCCACAGTGGATCACTGTTCTTATGATGAGCTTTTGTCTGTACTGTTTTAGCATTATTTGGTTTAGTATTGCTGTCTTGGCACTTTACTACCCGGCCACGTTGGCCAATGGGGTTACTCACGCGATGTGATCACCATTGCCGTATTGGCTATATGGTGCTGGCAGTTGCATGTTCCATGCTGGCACAATATTTCACCACCCCCAGCTGTTTTAGCCAAAGGGGTTATTCAAGCCGTAAGGCCACTAGTGCTGTGTTGGCTTTGTGGTGGCTGACAACGAAATGTTTCATGCGGTCATCGCATTTTATTGCTTGAAGCTGTATTGGCTAAAAGGGTACTCAGGCTACGAATGGTATTCTATACAAGAGCGCACGAAGTGGTAGCCGAGGATGGTTGGGATGGAGCTGTACCTGCCTCATGTTGAACCTGTTGTTTGATGTTAGGTTATTGTGGCATGGTTGATGAAATAGCATAAATGTGAGTGTTGGAATCTCTTGTTTACTCTCCGTATAATTCAATTGCAGTGTCTGACTCTGTCCAGAAGGAAGTAAACCTGTCTGTCTGGCTAAGTGAGGAGATTGTCAACTATCCTCAGCTAAAGCAGCTGACAAAGTCTCTGCCAGGTATTTTAGTTCAAGATAGAGCACCGAAGACAGTACTATTACGTTCGGGCGTATCAAAAATGGGAAAAATGGGCGATTCAATGTAATGTCACTGCCCCACCAGCTGATCCTAGTGTTTTTGCCCTGTATTTGGTGCATCTGATTCAGCAAGGGAGTTCAGTTTCATTGCTTAACTCTGCCATCAATGGAGCTAGCTGGGTTCATAAGAAAAGCTGTTACCCAGAGCTGGGCGATGACCCATTGACCCAACAGGTAGCGGAAGCCGGTAGGAGAATCCTAGCCAAACCATCGAATCGGAAAAAGACCTTGGAGGTGAGTAAAGTAAGGAAGGTTATCAGCAGGCTTGGACAAGGCAATCTTGGCGAAGTTCAAGTGGCTGCGTTGTTTGCATTAAGATTTTTCGGATTCCTCCGTTGGGATGACCTAAGCAGACTGACTGTCGACAATCTGCAATTTGCAGACACTCATCTGGCCATATTTCTTACGCAAAGGAAAAATGACCAGTTCCGTAATGGTTCTTGGGTTTTCATAACACGAAGCGACATATCCCCATCCCCTGTTTCAATGATCGAGAAGTTCATAAAGATGGGTAGGCATGAAAGCAATTCAAGGCTTTCTCGTCGAACTCTTAAAGACCAAGAAGAGGATGGAACTCAGGAAGGAGCCGATGTCTTATAGTCGGGCTAATGAACTAATAAAGCAGGAGCTGCGGAAGGAAAGGCTTGATCCTGCCTTTTACGGTATTCATAGCCTTAGAGTAGGGGGAGCATCGGCGGCGGCAGCAGCCCTGGGTATACCGGATAGACTGTTCCAACGGCAGGTAGTAAGGATGGCGTAGTAAGAAGTCCAGAAATAATTACATCCAAAAGACCCTGGAGTCACTGCTAAAAGTTACTAAGGCCATTCAAGGCTGAGAACTGTATGGACTGTTAGACCAATTTCTGCAAAAGAGCTAACGTTTAGGTTCTAGTCAAACTTTGATCAAGTGTCGCATCTCGACTGGTTACGATATATCATGCGTTTTGCATGCAGTTTTTGAGTTTTGACAGTGAAGTATCGTCTCTATCGTGTTCGGACCTCCTCATTAGTGACATTGGACAGTAGTGATAGGTCGCGAAGTGCTGTATAAATTTGTTCTCTTCTGTTCGGCTCCGAGGTTTTTGCTACTCTATGCTTTGTGACGTTGCGGCGGTCAGCTTGACATGGCTACCAGCGGTGTTTGAGAAGAGTAATTTTTCAATGGCTGAGTCGAACGAAATAAGTGAAAAATGTTTTTCTCACACGCCGCTGGGGTCTGGTATAGGTCATGTGACCTATGGGGCGGGCAGTTGTTTTTGTTGCGTCCGCTATTGCCGACTTTCCCACCCACCCACCTACCCACCCACCCAAAGATTTTAAATGTTTATACAATACCAGTATAATGTACTAGCCTGGAAATGTTTTCGTTATTTCTGGTCTAAGTGTATGCTACTTGTATTAGCTTTGAATTTACAATAGCCCATTGCAGAAGCGTGAGAGGACTGGGAAAGAGTGTGGTTGTTTTTCGTCTGTTTGAAAAACTAAGGTATTCAAATGAAAAATCAACTAAATTTGAGTCTTAAGCAAGAATAGAAGTATTTAGAGGAGTAAAATGGCAAAATGACAGCTCTTCAAATATCACCTAAAATAGAGAGTTTGTATGCATTGGGTAGACAGGCCAAAACATTTTAAGGGTTTGTATGGAATTTTTGCAACTTTTGCAAGGCTCCGATTTGGACACTTTTCCGCCGAAAACTCTCAAACTTGACTGGGTAGTTTTCCATTCAGTAACATTTCAGTTGAAATGTTTAGATTTTCAATGTAATCAATATGAGAAACTCGTTCCAGTCCTCTCACGTTTCGGCAATGGGCTGTAAAGGTCAGGTTGCGGCGGTGAGCTTGACATGGCTACCAGCGGTGTGTGAGAAAGTTACATATTTTCCTCAAGGAAACGAACCCAATACAGTGGGCGCAAGAATCACCACTCATTTCAAGTTTCTAAAAACCGCTGTATTCAAGATTTTTTTTGAGTTTTTTTTCATTAAAATTTTGTATGAAATGGTTGTCTATGCGCAGCCCTGATCTTTCATGGTGCGTTCACAGGAGAGTTTCTTCATCGGTGGGAAAATATGAGGCCTTGAGCAACGCAAACTGGCCATAGGTCTCGCTTTTATTATAAGTGCTAGACCCCAGCAAACCTCTCCCGCCTAAAGTTAATTACCAGAAAAGGGGCACCAAAACTATCCCTTGTAAGTCGTACAAAGTTGCCTTCAAATCCACCATGACGTGGGCTCACACGAAGCTGAAGCAGCAAGGTTCACGCTACTTTTACACAAAACGTGAAAGGGCAAGCTGACATTCGCCGTTTCACGTAAACGCGGTGCTAAATCTCTCCATTGAGAGGGGTAGAGACTGCCCGCCCAGCTGACTATTCATTTGTGTTCAACCTGAGAGATACTAACCGGCTTCTTTTAATTCTTTCTCGTCATCAGAAGAAAAAAAAAATTGTACATTGCCAGATTTAACTAGATAGCACTCGCTGTTTGGTTCCAATGGTCCTCGCACTTCCCGAATTCCTGCAATAGAGTAACAGCAGATTTATCACCGTGAGTAAATTTGTTCCGCCAACTTACAGAAACAAGTTCACTCACAAGGATATTATGTTGCGGCCACTAAGTTTGCAGTGGCAATTTCAAACAAAACAGCTGGAGTACGTTTCTCGAAGATGCCAGTAAGTCAATGGGCCCGTAATGCTGTTCGGTCTTCGTTCGAGATGGAGGTTTCAACATCTTTTAATATTATACTATAAAAATACCGGCTCAGCTAAAGAGACAAAATACTCTAGTTCGTGGGTGGGGGAGGGATGGCAGAACCTGCTTCTCTATCCTTAAAATTTTTTAAATAGTTACCGGGACTTTCGAAAAACAGGACCAGGGCAACAAATTTGCGACCATTATACAAACAACTCAGCCTGATTAATATTGCCAGGTAAAGCTCCTCTTCACCTTGCACATGAAGTTAGCACCTTCCCAGATCCACGATCTGACTGCAATACGCCCTCGCATTTAATAAGCTCCCCTTCTGCGCCTCCTCCCCTCCTTTACTCTCGCAAGCTATGTCTACCAAAATCTTCTTAGGTGCTTTTGATGTCGAATTCTCCAGTTATTTATCGCCAAATTGACCCATCTTTTAAGGACAAAATAATTATAGCTCTAGTATGTACTTCCTAAATGAATGGGTAAAACATGCACACAATTAAAGATTGATTGATTTTGCTTTTGATGTGCATCAGTCATCTAAAGCCGTTGAACGACTAAAACTTGTCTCCTAAACCAGTGAGCCCCACAGACAGCAGAAGAGGGTCAGTAGAGGCTCATAACCGTGATGCATAAAGGAAAGAGAACATATCCGTCTGTAACTCTCAAAATGAAACTTATCTAAAATTACCTACAAGGCCAAGATCGGACACATCTGACACCTCCTTCAAAGACAATAAAAGAGGAAAAATTACAGTGACAATTAGTTCTGATGAAAGCGAAGAATCTCTTACTGAAAATTTTGCTTGATTGAAAATTATTATCACTTTTTCGTGCATCGTGGCACATTTTGCGGGCTAAAATGGAGATTTTGGCGACCTAAAATGTATTTTAGCCCGCGTGCATGCTCACGTGATTGTTGACACTGTTTAGTAGTCATTTTCTCACTTCTTGTTTTCTCATTGCCCTCCAAAGTGATTATAACTGCAATAAAGTTAATATTCTTGGGCATGAATATGTTTCGGGCCTTGTTGAAGTCATTCTAACTCTCGCCTAACGGCTCAGGCCGAGTTGACTCTTAGTGGGGCCAAAAGCATTTTTTATGTCCAAAAACATTTTTCTGTCCATGAACATAAACTCTATTGTTTTGTAAATTAAGGTTCAGCAAACTGAAAAAATAAGGTTATATAGAAGGGACAGCATTCAAACTCCAGGTGGATCTTACATCCACCTGCTTGGTTCCATTTATGAGATGTGTCCTACTAAGAGCCCCCACATGATTTTCCAATCCCGTCAGCCTTATCGAAGGCAGAGCACTTGCCATTAACAGTCAATCACCAGAAAAAAAAGGAACACTCACAACAGCCAATTGCATCAAAGGAAAATATGAGAAAGAGCCAATGAGAAATCATCTACCAACAACTGCCATTAGAGCACGAAACGCGAATCCCCAAGTCGAGGTTGGTTTTGGTTTTGCGTCTGGTTGAGAGGATGACAGAAGTTTTCCAAACAAATGACTGAGCATTTTGAGGTAAAAGCAAACCTATCCCAGATTACTTTGGACACTTAATTGTAAACTGCTCTATTTGCAATCCTGTGGTCATATTCCGTTTGAATCTTGCACCTCAAGGACCTCAAGGAAAAAAATGCCTCTCAGTTAGTTAAGTTCATTCAAACTTACCAGATGCAGCTTACAATTGTGTTCAACGACAGCTGTAAGTGCTTCTTTCATAAATCTATCCAGTCTGGAACCTAAAGAAGCAGAGAATCTGTGAAAAGTTTAATTGAGATCTTGGGTCTGTTTGAGAATATGGATCATTACTATCATATGATAAATTATTTTACATCCAACAAATTCACATGAAACAATTGGTTGACAAATAAAGACATTTCCTTTGGTAATTTAAAGAAAAAAATGCTATTCTTTTGCTGAGGTCTTCAGTGCCTAACCTGTTTATCTGCATCTGACATTTTGGATCAAAATCCATTGTTGGGTAAGTGTAGATAATAGAATGATTGTTGTATTAAGTGAGCTGGTAAAATAAGAAAGTGTTTTGTTTTTTTTTTTCCGGTGGAAACAAACAGAAAAATGTTGAAATTGCAATCCATCAAAGAGTTGGCACTAATGATAAAAACACCATATTGGGCCATGCTAAAACTTGTTTACATTCGATGAAATTTTTTACCTAAGAGACCACTCAGGTTGTGTTCAGGATCCATCTGACCGATCAAGTTGCTGACTATCATGATACAGTCCTAAAATATTAGAATTGTTTGATTGCAAAAATCAAAGCTGACATAATTTTCATTGTTATCATACTTACCATGTTAGTCATGCCTAAATCACGCATAAAGGTTATGAGAATAAAGGAAATGATATCCAACTAAAGAAGCTCTTGATTGTTAAACAAATTCTCCTTGTCAACACCTTTGGAAATGCATGGAGAATAGTATAGGGAATATGCTTACTGATGTTCGGTTGTAAAGGCTTTACCCTTTGACCACTGAGACTGACTAGCATATCATTTCTCCTTACTTTAGAGAGATTTAGCACCACCTTTATGTGAAATGTGAATGGGAAGAGTGACCATGTGAACTCGTTTTTCCTGTCTGCATTTTTTCATGTTTGCTGGTTGCAGTTTGCCGTTTTTATGTGAATGTAACCTGTTTCTTGTTTGCTGTTTACATAAGATTTTCTTCACTTCTTCTCTCACAGAGCAGAAGTTAATTGCCGGAAAAAGGGCACCAAAACCATTCCTTGTAAGTCCTACAAGGCACCCTTAAATTCACCATGACAGGAGCTCACGTTTAGCTAGCGCAGCATGGTTCACAATATTTTACGTGAAACATGAAAGGGCAAGCTAGCACAGTGTTAAATCTCTCTACTATCAACCCTGAATCAAACACTAGGATCATGAGAATAAAAGAAATGATCCACAACTAAACAAGCTCTTGATTATTATGCAAACTCTCCTAGTCAGCATCTTAGGAAATGAGAACAGTATGAAGAATATCTATATTGATGTTGGGTTATAAAGGCCTAAAGCAATGATAAGTGCCATATTAACAGTTTTTTTTTTTTAACAATGGCTTCAACTGTAGTAGCTGACCTGTAGTTACTTTATCTTTGATTTGCTCGCAGTGGGGGGAATGCAAATAATATTACATTATTAGTTTTGATACTTACTTTAAATGATCTCTCAAAATCCGTGCGACTTGGCGGTATTCTGTAAATGATTGAAATTAAAAGAAACTTTTGACAAGTCTTATTCTTAGTTTTCATGTGACATCACCAAAATGAAAAAAAAATAAAAAAATAAAAAAAAGGAATTATGTATGCCTTTGAGATTTTAGTTTGGTTAGTCATTAAAACAGCTTAAGACTGAACTTTTTACAAATTTCCAGTTTGATACCGTTTTTCGTGTTGTGATAAAGCAAGGTTGAATTTCTAAGCTTTTGTGTGACTCAATATTAAAATGGCAGCCACTAATGCTGTCATCTAGCTTAAAAAAGTGACTTATCTGCTGAGATTTCAAAAACTGAACAGTCCTTCTAATGAGAACAAGTACTCAAGACACATATTGAAGATGTGTGTGAGCCCTCAAGAGATGACTATAGGCTTTCTAAAGTAAAACTTGATGGCAAATGTTTTTGTTAGCTTCCGGCTGCCATATTTGTGCCCCTCAGAGAGAGGGGCACAAATATGGCATCTTCACAAAAAGTCTCAAAAATTTAAGTAAAAAAATATGTCTATAAACATCTCCCATGTGAAACAGCATACAGAAACAAATCTTTGTGACACTGTTTGAATATTCATCATTTTTTATTTCTTGGATTCTTGACTTTATTTGGTGCATAGTTTTGATGATAGTGTGATAGTAAAACCTACAATTCACCACATGGCCATCTTGCTAAACTTTTCACCTGGCTATTTTTTATGAATAAAGGTTTTGAGAATCAGCATATACTCATTTCAGTACTAGACTATCAGTTGTTGGTTGGCAATTAACATACTCTGAATCATAAGCTTCTATCATTTCACCAGCAAATTGGACAGATCCAAATATACGGCTATGAAAAGGGTCTGAGGGGTAAATGTCTGGTGAAGATAAAATAACAGCAATGGCATTCAGTGTACAATAATAAAGAAGGTAAGTGGAATATTGTATTTGGAAATAGCTAAGGATTAAAAACACATGGAACTCCAGCTGGCACTCCAACCCTTCATCCTTTAACTCCCAGAAGTGATTAAAATGTAACTTCCCCCTATAATATCCCTACATCATCAAACAAACAGGTAATGAGAATTAACTCACATGTATCAGGTAGAATTTGATATCTTGATGTGACATCAAATTCTCCTGGCTAATTTACAAGGAAATGTGTTGCAGCTAGAGGGGAGAATTAACAATCAGATCTCGGGAGTCCCTTGAAATGAAGAACCCCTCTGAATTGGGGGAAGAATATTCCTTATGTATCAGCAATTGAAGAATCTTCAAAATAAATTTCAGTGACCTGAGTTAATTTTGACTCAGACATGGAGAACATTTTCCAACAACTTAAACCTATTCTGCTGCTTCGATTTCTTTCAAATAGAAAGCCTATGGGAGCAACACAGAAGAAAGATTGCATTGTATTGTCACCTGACTGGTTCATCTCTAAAAGCTACCCTCTAGAACAGCTGGCTAGTCACGTTCATAAAGCTGACGATTGATTAATGATTAAAATCTTGATAGCCTAAATGTATTCAACTAGCTATTTCACGATCCTCTATGGCAAGTAAAAGTACTAGTTGAAAGTTGTAACTATCAAGCAAAAGTCTGCAGGCGCCATTGAAGTGTCGTTTTCATCCATAGAAAGACAAACACTAAAGTAAAACAGTAAGAATGAAATGCAGCAGATTAAAGAGAGCTAAATAAATTAAAATGCAATGAAAAAATATACATCAGATAAATACTGTCGTCCTAGCTGCAGTAACTTACACATCTCAAATCTATTTACAAACCTGAGCTACTTTGTATCCAGGGAAACGAATTGAAGGCTAAATGCCGAACCATACACGCACTAGGCTTCAAAATATTTTTCAGTAGCAGTTTATTTGGTTTTGCAGTTAATGCCGAGCTTCCAAACTGTGATAGACATCGTCCAAGTTTAGTACCCGTGAAAACCGCCATATTTGTTATTATTCCCGAAAGTGGATTGGACGCTAATGGTAAAACACTTCCGGAGAGTATTTCATTTCCGGTATCGCTCGTTGTACTTGTGACAGAATCCACAAGAATTATCCAAAAAAAAAAAAAACAAACTTAGGTGGACGAAATGTAGGAGCATTTATTTTATATTTCACATTCAATGGAAAACCCCTCAGTAGACACTAAGCTCACGCAGGCTTGAAGCTCATATCATTCCTCGCCCTCCCCGAGAAAGAACGTTTTTCCTTAGGGAGGGGATGGTGGCGCACTATTCCTCAACCCAGTGTCCTAACGCCAGAAGCTGTCGTTGGGAGGAAGCGTGCAGATTTCGAGAAAATGGCTTCGTGGAAATGTACAGGCTATGTTATTTTAGGAATCATAACTGCTGTTTTAATAATTCTCCTCAATTTCGATTATTTACCGAAAAGAAAGTTATCTGAAGAGCTAGAGCTAACCACGAAAAGTAGTTACAAAGAATCCATTTCGACTGTAACACCCACCGATAACACAGCGAAGGTGAGGCCATTAAAATTGCATGCTGAATTTCTTATCCATATTTTGTCGGTTTAGTAAGGCCGAAAAGTTTCTTATTAGTGAGGCTGCGATATCAAGATTATGAGAAAGCTTTCAAATTTAAAATCATTAGCCAAAACTTTCCTAATAATGTAAGTGACTGTATAAATACATGCCAAATTACATCGCAACTGTGTCAACTCACAACGGAGTATTGAAACAATAAGCTTTGACATTTCGATGTAAGCTTCCATATGTTTTTTAAAGAAGCACTCATAAATTGTTAAATTTTATTTTGAGAGCAAGGGTTTTTCAATTCGTCTAGTTCGTCAGACTTTAGAAGAAAGACTTGAATGGATCAATAAGAGCTAGTTCATACGTACATGAAATTAAAAGCTTGCAGGCACACTTGTTTAGCGAAATTTTTTACTTCTCTTTTCAGACCTCTGTTTTGAGCTATATGTTTCCTTTGTGGCGTGGTAACAATATACATAAAAATCACTGCATGGGAAGAATTCGAGTCAATGACAAATTTAAAACCAAAACATAGTATGTGGTGTGTAATGTGTTGCAATCGATGCTTAATTTTTCAGCTCAAAGTGCATGTTAATTAAGCTTAAATTTGTAACGTCTTCATTTTTACCTGTTCTAGGATTTTGTCGGAAAACTCTCGGTGGAGCAGTACAAGAAACAAATAATGAATTGGAGTTGCTCTGAAAGATCTTCTTCTCCAGTGGTAGATATTATGAACATGTCTTTAATACCTAATGTATTTAGGGTTATGTTTTGGTCTTATCAATTAAGATTTAAACTAACGATTTAAATGATTTTTTTATAGGACAATTTTCCTGAACTGACATTTGATGATGTAAGAAATTTTGATTGGAATTGCAGTGGTTTCCCCGTAACACCACAGGTACAACACATAATGTTATAGTGATGTAAGTTTCAGCACCTTATTTTTTCTGCTCAGATTTAGGGCCCATTTGCTTTGTATTTGGGCCATGAATTTGAGTTAATATTTCTATAACTTACAGTATCTACCTCTTACTAAGATAGGCAAGAAGTATATTTTGATTGTAATGATTACAATATTGGCATTTTTCCTTTTATAAACATTTATTGAAAATGTCCCTTCCAAAATGATCCTTTGCGTGAGTTCTTTAACAAAGTATAAGGTGACTTTTTATATGGGTAATTCTAAGACTACCCTCTTTACTTATTAAATTTTATTTCATGCAGGACACAGATGATAATGTCACAAAATCTTTATGTTACAAATCTAAAGATGTAAGTATGGACTGCATATAACATGGATTATGTTGTGAAAAGAGCTTATAATCAGGGCTGTGGTGTAGCAGCGCCTGGTGGCCCCTGGCACCTTATGTTTGCTCTTACGCCACTCAGGAATCTAATTTTTTTCATAAAAAGCATATGCTGGGCACCCTGGATTTCACAGTTTCAGAGCACTAGGCTCCCTTCAATTTTTCTTAGAGCACAGCCTTGGTAATAAGCATTAAATATTTAAATAAAAAACATGTTTAAAACACATTTCAAGAGCACTAATTACAGAGATCACCTTCTAGACTCAACTTGCAGAAATGTTCCTGTGACTTCAAGTTCTGATATTGACATAAGTTCAGAATGCCTTTCTGAAAAAACAAAACAAAAAAAAAACAAGAAATTAAAATTAACATTTGTGGTTTTATGCTTGAAAAGTAAACCTGCCATGTTGAAAAGTCTGGTTACCATGACAATATTGAAATCTCTTGTGAAAATGTAGAAGGTATTCCCACTGTGAGTGCCAAAGATGCCATGTCTTTGAAGCAAGATAAGTTATGGCTTTTCATCAATATTTATGGTAGTAATAACTATTTATCCATAAATTTTCAGCCCTTTATCTGTGTGCGTGATCCACTGCATTGCCAACACAAGGACAAGAGGTGGGGTTTGATCACAACTTATTCTTGAAATAAAAAAAAAAAATTATGGTGCTCAGAATTTTCAGTGCTCACCTGTGTAGCAATTGTTTCCTTTCTTATTCAGGCATTCTAAGTAAGGGAAAAAATAATTAAAAAGGGGAAGAGCAGGGGTTTCATTAATGTTTTCTGCAGGAGGGCAACTGGTTTTCACAGGCGGGCAAAACTCTTTGAACTGAACTTCTTTATAAGATAAACTTTCCTCCAGATGGTCAAATCAGGTGGGCAAAGCCTTCCTCACAACCGGTCAATTTGCCTGATGCCTGGCCCTTAATGAAACCCCCGGAAGAGGAAATAAGAAACAGATATATTTTATAAATAAATGTGTTGATTGATACTGACATTTTGTTAACTTACTTAATGAGTTTGGCAAGTGCTTCTTTTCACTGATTTCAAAGTACTGCAACAAATTGGGCATACGTATGAATATACAATGAAATATATGAACTTCATATATTTCATTGTACCAAATTGGGCATAGTTCTCTTAGACTGACATCGTTTACACTACTTTGTTTTTTCAATACTATATCTATATAAGCAGTGAACATCTGATTGGTGTAATATATCTTTGATATTTTATCAGTGACAAGAGGTTTATAACAAGACCGAAATATGGAGAGTACAAGTATCTTCCCAAGTCATTATGGTTGAGTGTTGTTCTGGTAGGTACAAGTTCCTAAAATGAATACCATAAAAACCTGCAGATAAGCCACACCCTGAATTTAGCAGCTCAAATTTTGGAAAAAAAGTTTTTGGAAAGAAATCAAAAGAAATCCAAAGTCGAGTCTTGAGAAGTCTTCTTCATTGAATGTAAACTCATCGAATGTAAACTCACTATTAACATTACAACGAAAAATACTCTAAGTCTTACCCACTTTTTTTAGCACTTCAATATAATGAATGTCGTTTCTACCAACTTTGACATATGATTGATCTTTTTCTGGTATTTGTTGACAGGAATTTCTTCATTCAACACAGTTTTTCCGTAGGTTTTTGCATTGCAACAAGAACGTGAGGGTAACATTTGAAGCTTGGTAACCAGGCTTTAGATCGGACATGAAAATGTTGACATTCATGGCACCTTTTTCAAATGTTCCTGCAGATAAGCCACACCCCCAATATCTAGCTACGATTTTTGAAAAAAAGGTGTGACTTATCCGCAGGTTTTCACAGTGGCTCTCACTATTAGGATGTATCAATTGCATAGGATATAGTTAATAGAGTAAAGAAAAAAGGGGCATTTCGAATCGTGCCATGTGGTTAGGTTTTATGGGTGTTTTGCCCACATCACTACATATGAATTTTCACCATAGCATAACATTTTCAACATTAATATCCTTCTTCACCAAACTGCCCAATTTTAGGAAAATAGTGTTTATAAAGTAATGTGGTCCAGTGGAACTTTGATTTAACGAAATGCCAAGGGACCAGTGAAATTGGTTCCTTATATTGAGGATTTGTTATATCAAGGTTCTGTGGTATACATTTTACTGTAACTTTAGCCAGGCTGGAACTGAAGTATCATTTTTTATACCAAGAACTTCATCATATAGAGGTTTGTTAAATCGAGGTTCCACTGTACATTGTAGGTTAATATATTAATCACTTGTGGCTGCTGGCATCCTCTAGGAACAGGAACTATTCCTACTGATTTTATCATATAAACTGCCATGATTTACAAGGATTTCCAGCCCTGATAAAGCTGTAACTGCACATGTTCAAATGTATTAATTTTTTATGTGTTTGATATTGCCAATCAGCTGCTGACACAGACTGTGTTTACCTTTTCTACCTCTCTGTCAAGTTGATGAATTAATAGTAAAGCATTCACAATCCAAAAAGTTTGACAAATGATCCAAGGTTGTTTGTCAAAATTTCCTCTTTTCTTGTCAGTAAAGAGCTCTGGTGTTTATATGATAAACAAAATAATAACTGGGGGAGAGTGGATATAGAATTTCTCTTCCCGTGTTCAACTTAACACCTCACTAGGTTGCTGCGCTCACTTGCGAGATATCAGATTGAACACTTAAAGAGAAAATCCATATCTACACTTGCCCATGTATTTTTCTCCTGTTATTAACCCTCTGTGCTGTAGTGTTTCCCTTATTTTAAGCAGGACAGGTAAAAAGAAATTTTCAAACCAGTATAGCAATTCTTTTTTAAGTTGATATTTCAAGAATTCCACGGATTTTTAGGCAGTGATATGAAGTACTAAACAGTCACTTGTGGTAAATTTCACTGGTTATTGCATGAAAAGTAGAACACTGTACTGTCCAACAATTGCTGAAACAAGCCTGCAATTTTATTTCTGAGAGAAAAAAAAAAATTCAGGGAATTATGATGATTGGAAAGTTGAAATTGCTTGATGATTTGGCTGTCACTGTTTGGAAGAAAGCTTGGGTACAGGCAGTGTGAAGTCGTAATTTAAAGGCTTCACTAAGTCAAGTAAAGAGTTGCCAGTAAATCCACAGACAAAAAGCATAAAAAAATAGAATTCAGCAGAGAGAATATATATCTTATTAACCAAGCGCGAGGGCCGTACTGGGAGAATATCGGCCTGAGGTCTTGACAGTACGGACCGAGCACAGCTCGGTCCGTAGAAAAAAGACCAAGGACCGATATTCTTCCAGTAAAGTCCCAAGCAAGCTTGGTTAATAAGAGATTTATTATACGACTGAAGTTCAAAGGGACACAATTGCGGTATCATTCGGGACCATTTGGGACAGTGCCCGGTCCAATACTTAGATAATATTGGACCAGTAATGGAGCATTTTGATTGGTTGATTTTAGTTATTGGCCCTCTGACTGCCTGAGTCATGTAATAATACTGATTACAGTAGATCTTTGGAGTTAGATGATTTGACTCTTAATATGGTGGTGACATTATTTTTGCTTGTAGCATGGAGGAGTAGCATTTCTATACCACCCATGTGTCAGTGCAGACCAAAAAGTGAAACTGCGCAAATTGGCAACCAGTTGTTTACAGCGGCACGTTATAACACCCTATGAGAGACTGAATCCATGCCAGGTGAGCAATCAAATTTGGTGTCCAATTACAGAGTAGTACTTCTGTTAAGAGATTCAGTGGTTATTTCAAGCATGAATAGAATAACTTGCTGAACATTACTTAGAACCAGTTACTGCAATTTCGGCCAATATTGTAGATGTGGTGGCCTAACAGATAGCATGCTAGACTCTGGGCAGAGAGGTTTCGATGTATGTCAAAGATCTGGTCATGTCATTGCATTGTGTTATTGGGCAAGTAAATTTATTTCCCACAGTGCCTTTCATCACCTAGGGTGGTTTGTTTAGAACAGGATTAACTAACCTGGGATTAGCATAAATTTCTAACTGAGTTTTTAGTTCTGCAAGGAATTTTCTTTTGTATTTTTTTCCCCATAGTTTGGAGTCACATTGAGGTAAAAAACATTTAAACCTTCACACGCTCTTCCACAAGAGACAATAAAGCCAAGGGTAACCTTAAATCCTTGATTAGCATTAACCCTCTTGAATGACCTGGCCCAGAAGTTTAAGTGGTTACTAGCCAACTGATAAGGAGGCCTGACAAATTGCATGCAGGGGGGAGGGGGGTAGCAATACTCCTAGCCTCTTTATGCAATAGAAATGGGTATAAGCTTGCATATGAACAAAATTTGCTACTGTTTGAGTACTGAATGGGGAAGATATGGTCGCCCAATGGTTGGTGTGCTGGGCAGTGGATGATGAGATACAGGTTTGTGTCCTAGTGAAACTTGGAAGGAATCAATACATTTTTTTAATTTCTTGGCCAGTATGTTTTACCCTCAAAGTTCCTTTCTTTTCAAATACATTCTTGACTTATAACCTGGGACAGTCTTTGATGGGCTAGCATTCTATCAAGAAAGAGAAGCAATACCCCCAGTAACTTCCTACCAGGGAAACTTGGATAGGCTCTTGTAGTACTGGGCTATTCATTGATGCAATATTTTATTCCTGAAATTTTGAGAAAAATTGGCGAAGAAATTCAAGGATTAGTTTATCTCATTTGGTGTTGTGATTGTGTCCTAGCCAATTGCCATGGTAGCATGGAGCTGCTTTTATTCAACATCAGAAGTAGACGTTGAAAAAGGAAAGGATTGGATCAAGCAAAATGCCATGAAAGGTCCTGCCACTCATGTGATGGAGAATGGCCAATTTGAAGAAGGAATTAAGAGTCAAGCTAAAACAGTTTCAGACAGACATGACACTTGCCTCTGTCCTGACAAAATGAACGTAAGCAGATTTCAGTGATATTATGTGCTTTGATGCAGGCGTAATGTTTGAATGTGCAGTTGTCTTGAGGGCAGTTCTGGGAAGGATTGTTGTCGGTAGTAATATTGTGACAATCTTTGTGGTACCGTTAGTCACTACTGCTGACAACAGTCCTACTCGGTACGTATTTCACTTCGAGGGTCCCACTACACAATCAAATGCTTGCCACTGCGTATCATGAAAATTTTGTGGGTTTTGATTTTTTTCAAATTTTGTGAATTGCATTTGTCCTTGGTACCCAGAAATATGTTTCAGGAGAAACAAAAATTGCAAATTAAGGCATGGCAAAAATTTAAATCAATCAATCCAAATATTTAAAAAAGACCCAGGACAGAGGACAGGGGGTAGC